AACGTTTGCTTTTTTTGTTCAGCCAGTTAGGTTTTAACAATAAAACATGTTTCCTAATACTTTCCAAAAGTTTCAAGAAATAAATAATTTATGTTAATTAATTGTTAATTAAATCATAAGAATCTTATATATTATTTTTACTCTAAATGATTTCAGTAAATCCTAGATTATCAATATTTTATATTACTCTTTATAATTTCTTTCTCTTTCTCTTCTTCTTATAATTATTATTATGATAAATTCGAATTTTAAAAGTTAAAATATGAATATATTCTGTAAAAGAAAAAAGTTTTGAGCAAACTTAAGAAAATGATTGATAATAAAAGTTTAATAGGTCTAGATCTTAGCTAAATTGATATCAGATTTCTTAAATTTTGATTTAAACAAAATTAATTAAGAATATAATAATGAAATAAGTCATAATTCACAGATTGTTTAATCAATTAATTATTTAAATTCTATGGTTTTAACAATTTGTATTAAAATTTAGAAAATTTCCTTAAAGTTAGTTATATAAATAGAACCGTATTTAAAAATATCAATCAAATATTATAAAATAGCGTAAGTAGATTAACTATTTTTATAACTGAATTAATATTCTTAGATTGATAAAGGAAAAACCTAAGAGGTAAAAAATAAAAATACTACTAAAAATGAAATAATAAATTATTGTGTATAGATATGAATATTTATAAACAGGACCTTACAAAATATATAGTCTTATATTTACAAAAACAAAAAGGGAACACCAAAATAAAAAAACTATGCTAAATTTGGTCTTTTTAAAGGGAGGAATTAAAAGTGAATGCTTAGTTTTATACCAACTATAACTATCAGAATAAATAAAATACGCAAAAATAAATAACAAGCAGTTCTAATAAAGTTATAATATAAATTCTCATTTAGAAAATAATTAATAATAGTAAATTTGAATATAGATTCAATATAGTTAAATACTTTAGTCACTATGAAATAATATTGTCCCCATATTATATGTTTAGAAGAAATTGTAGTATAATTTAATAAATTAAAAAAGAAAATCGAATTAATAATGGGATTTATTTAATAAAAAGTAAAATTGAAGCTAAATTAAGAATTTCTGAATCTTTTATTTCTCATCACTAACCCTAATAAGAAAGAAAGAAAGAAAGAAAGAGCATTAATGAAATTTTTATTGATGACAAGCTAAATTTATTTACTGATGATGTTAATATAAAAAATAATATAATCTAAATATTAAAGTGCATTTAAGGAATCTTTGAGTATAATCCTAAACACCTATAATTGATGGATGGCCAAAATATTAAAAGTGAACAAAATAATTTAGATTTAAGAGGGGAACTTGAGTCAATAATAAGTGAGAAATATAATAATAGATTTATAAAAAAAATATGATAAGAATTTCAAACAAACCTGATAAATTAAAAAAAAGAATTTTGATATGAGAATTAATGGGTCCAGCTTTAAGAATAAAGGGTAGTTCCTTGCCCTTTGGACTATTTATTATTTTTCTCTTGGTTTGATGGGAATATCATTAGGGTTTAATACAACCAAAATCGAATCGATCATGCCTGTGAAACCTTCACCATCTATCCACAGCAAAAAAAATAATAACTTTTTATTATCCAAAGGAATTTAAAGAATTCCTTTTTGTTTTTTTTAGTAATATAATTTCCAAAAATTTTGAAATTTACTGCAAGTATTTCACATCATAGTCTAGCTAAAATGAAGGTATATTTTTTATGAAACTACAATATTTACAATACCTTATGATAGCTTATTTATTATAAATAATATGAAGTGGTTTAATAGAGTAGTTTTCAATGAAACTTTTGATTTCATAATAGCACTTTTGATTAGTGAAAAATTTAACAAAGTAGGTCGTAGGAAAGTTGTTAATTATTAAAATTACTGTATAATTATAGTTTAACATAAATTAGATATGAATGGGATTTCTTTAGTTTTCTCTTAGACACCATTCATCAAAATAGTTTTGGTTGAACAATATATTACTCTAAGTTGCTATTTTAAGTAAAGGATCATAAGGTCTAATTTTGCACCATTTTATAAATATCTAGTTAAGGTATTCTTCTTCTTCAAAGGTGTCTGTGAATTCACCAAGGGGAGCTTTTGGAGATACATATGTAAATTAGCTTTGTGAATCATGCTTTACAAAAGCTTATTCAAGTCGAGTAAATACATTTTTATGGTGTTCATCAAGTTTCTCTATTTTAATTATAACAAATTGCAGAGAATAACAATTCATTCTTTCTTTGTCCTTATTTTCTTATTCTTAGTCTAGTTAATTTATTAGATCAGACATTGGTTTAACATAAACTCTTTAGCTTCCCCTATATTCTACTCTTTCAATATTAAATTACAATGGTCTAATATAATCTATTGAGTCTTATAAGTAAGCTTGGATATATTTAAGTTCTTAGTTAAAATAAGTACTTAGTTATTAATTTTTGTCCAGATTCGTTTCTCTTTATCTATCTTCTAATTACATTTATTAATTTTCAATTAGTTCATTTTGTAGTTTTTCTACTACTTGCCTTAGTTAAGCTTAATCTACTAATTATTTTAAGTTATAAGATTTATGATTTATAACTATTCTTCTTACATCACATGATTTTGTAAGTTGAGTGCTTATTATTACAGTTATAGATCTTATTCATTTAGTATTTAATTTCTTAAGCTTTGCATTTTGGTTCCTACAATAGATTCTTCCCAAATCATTATTTGCCAATTTTAGCTCTAAATTTCATCCTCTCCAAATTGCATTTTTAACTTATTTCTTTAATTTCCCTAGGCAAGAAAATTATCACTGGCTTCCGCTTAGTAAAGTTCCATAAGAGATAGCAACTAGTGACTCTGAAAACTAACTCTTTTCTTGATTCTTTGTGCTGAGGTGGTTAATTTCTGGACCAATTCTTCTTTTGATATTAAAGCAATCTTCTAATACTTTCTTATCTTCTCCGTTCTCCTTTTTTTTCCTTTTTAGAGATTTTACAAATTTACTAATTTATTTTTAGGATTTATATTTGTGAAGAGATAAATGATTGAGGTGTCTTTTCATATTTTCTAATTATATTATATATATTATATATAAAATAGTATTATTTAAAAAATAAGCATTATTAAATCTCTTAATTTACATTTTGATCATTATAATACAAAAATTATTTCATAATATCTATTTAGATAATAAATTTTTATTTTATTAAATATTGTTAAAACACCTTTAAAAATAAATT